GTGTGTCTCTCTCTCTCTCGTTCCTTCCCTCCTCCCTCCATTAGATTCCTCCGCCCCACATTCTCGAGCATCTGAGTCATCCGCAGGAGCATAAAAGGTGGAGGCCGTTCAGGTAAACGTCAAACCTCATCACAAGCGGCTGCCAGCAAGCACATGCCGGCAGATCCAGGGGGCGAAGGCCAAAGCGTTGTCGCCTTTTTTCCGACTCTGAGTCCGGACTTCTCTTAAGCCTTCGGGAGAGTTGCTTTTTCCTGGGATTTTTTCCTACCCTCGTAGCTGCCAGAAGGGCCCTGGGAGGGAGCAGCCAGCTTGGAATTTCGCCAGGATTTGATTTTTTTTTTTTTTGGCATACTCCTGTCTTTTCCCCCGGTCTCTCCGCACAACGAGCGTATTTAAATGGGCAGCCCTTGGGTCCCCGGCCCCTGAGTTAACTGGGGAGCCGTCTCAGTATGTGCCAGCCCGTCCTGCCTCCGAACCCGCTTCCCTGCGCCCGGATTAAATGGATGTTAGCGAGACCCCCTCGGCTGGACAGTGGTCGTTCCACGTAAGTGGCCACGTGTGGGCAGAAGCCACAAATCTCGCCTGTGGTTGAAGGGAGGGGTGGGTGGCGGTGGGGGTGGGACCAGAGCACAGTGGATTTGGAAAGAGGCAGAGGTCGGAAGAACTGGCGCTCTGCCGTGTTTCCGCCACCTCGTTCAGTAGCACGGCTCCACTCAGCCGGGGCCAGTGTTCCCTCTAAGCTGAGTCAGTGTGAGCCAGGTCACGTTTTTTTAGCCTCCGGCTCACACATTTTTTTTAAACTGTTTATTTATGATTTTCAGTTTACATCATATCATCGGTTTACATTTCTCATTCTTGTGAGTCATACCTATTCTCCTTATCTAACCCTACATAAAACATCTTCCATCGTTTTTCAAATATCTCCTTGCTATTACCTTGTATTGTCAAACTTAGTCTATCCATTTCCACTACTGACAACATTTTATCTATTACTTCTTTCTTAGAGGGCAGTCCTTCTTCTTTCCATTTTTTGGCTAACAATATTCTGGCTGTTGTAAAAAGATATATAATCACATATTTGGTTGTTTTGCTATATGTTTCTGGGAGCATGTTCAACGGCTCACACATTTTTGTCTCAGCTCAGGAAGGAGGGCTCCAGAGCAAACTCATTGATGCAGTAGCCAAATGGCTCGCTCACGACTTTATTGCCGGTAGCTCACAAAGTAGAATTTCTGCTCACAAGACCCGACAGCTTAGAGGGAACATTGGCTGGGGCTGCTTGGGTCCGATAGGAGTCGACCCAAACCCCCAGCGCTGGCACCCTGGCGCAGGGCATCTCCCCCTCTGCTTTCTGGAGTGCCTCCCTGGCTTTTCACAGGAGTCGCTGCTGCTTGTGCAAGCGTGAGAGTGCCGGGAGGCACCACTTCCTGTTTCCTTCTGGCTTGTTGTCGTGAGCGTTGCTGGCCTCCACCTTCCCCTGAGGCACTGCGTTGGCTTGTTGTGATCGTTCTTCTTTGGATTGTTTGGGATTTCACACACATTCCCCTTTGTTCTATGCCCAGGAAAATATTTAAGCTTTCTTGGTTTGTCCTCGTGCCCCCTTCCCACCCCAGAGCCGGTGGGCCGAGGCTCTCCGTGTGAGCAGGGTACTGTGTGCTTACAGTGTGGTGGGAGATCTGGGTAAACAGAGAGCCAGTTTGGTGTGGTGGTTAAGTGCACAGACTCTAATCTGGGGGAGCCGGGTTTGATTCCCCACTCCTCCTCCACTTGCACCTGGCTGGATGGCCTTGGGCAAGCCATTGTTCTGACAAGAGCTGTCCTTGAAAAAGAGCAGTTTCTGTCAAGAGCTCTCTCAGCCCCGCCTGCCTCCCAGGGTGTCTGTTGCGGGGAGGGGAAGGGAAAGGAGGTTGTAATGACTCCTTAGGGTAGTGAAGGGCGGAGTATAAATCCAATCTCCTTCTTCTAATTTTGTCCATGCTTAGACAGCTGGCTCGGTGGACTTATTTTGCATAATACCGCTCCTCTGAGTCACGGGGAGCAGGGAAGTCTGGTTAGAGTGTCACACAGAGCATTCAAAGTCCTTGACATGGAGGGGAGATCTATCAGTGGCTACTAGCCATGGTGACTAAAGGGAACCTCCACGTTCGGAGGCAGCAAACCTCCGAATGCCCGTGCCAGGAGGCTGCATCGGGACAGTCGCAGCCAAACGCTCCCTCTAAGCTGTGGAGTCTCGTGAGCAAAAAGTCCTACTTTGTGAGCAACCAGTATTAAAGTTGTGACCGAGCGATTTGGCTGCTGCAAAAATTACTTTGCTGCGGAGCCCTCCTTCCTGAGCTAAGACAAAAACTTGTGAGCTGGAGGCTAAAAAACTGAGCTAGCTCACAGTAACTCAGCTCAGAGGGAACACTGGTCTTGGCCTCTCTGCCCTGTTGCTGGCCCTCCAGGCTGGCCCCTTTGTGAGACAGGATGCTGGACTAGATGGACCCTCCCTGGTCTGACCCAGCAGGGCTGTTCTGATGCTCTCCTCAGGGGAAGGCCTCGGCCTCTCTGCCCTGTTGCTGGCCCTCCAGAGGAACTGGTTAGCCACTGTGTGAGACAGGATGCTGGACTGGATGGACCCTCAGTGGTCTGACCCAGCAGGGCTCTTCTGCTGTCCTTATCAGGGGAAGGCCTCGGCCTCTCTGCCCTGTTGCTGGCCCTCCAGAGGAACCGACTGGCCCCTGTGTGAGACAGGAGGCTAAACTGGATGGACCCTCCCTGGTCTGACCCCACAGGGCTCTTCTGAGGTTCTTCCAAGGGGAAGGCTTCTCTGCCCTGTTGTTGGCCCTCCAGAGGAACTGGCTGGCCCCTGTGTGAGACCGGAGGCTGGACTGGATGGAACCTCTCTGGTGTTATTCAGCAGGGCTCTTCTGGTGTTTCTTAGGAAATATTGCAGAACTGGGGGGGGGGAGGGGGGGGGGACGGACACGCAAGTTGAGAGAACAGTGACTGTCAGTGCTTGCAATTCCAGAAGCGAGCTCACAAACAACGGCTCCTACCCTGCCACAAATCTTGTTGGTCGTCACACAGCTCTCCATCTTGATCTGTCTCAGTGCAGTCTGTTAACTCCCTGACCCCGTTACCCTCTTAAGACCCGCTCTTCTTTCACTTTCTGAGATTTTTGCCGGTGGGCGCGTCCAAGCCTGCCTTTGTAGTCATAAGGACTAATAGCTTGGGTGTTTCAGTTAAGTAAAGAGTGCACGCTCACACGCACACACACGTGTGATGCCGTAGCAAAAGTGGGTGATCTCTTTTCCTCCCCCCCACCCTGCGAAAGAGTCGGGGGTGACGGCCAACCCTCCTGTTAAAAGTGTCCCCGGGGATGAGTCTCCAGGGTGGAGAGGCCCCAACCGTGCATCTTTTATCTCTGGAGATTAAAAGTTAAGCCCAGGATACATCGAACAGGGGGTTGGACTGTTTAGTATAACACTTGAGTGAAACAACGGGGCGAGGTGAGGGTTAGGGACTGCCACCCTTGGTCATCTTGTACAGCTGGTTGCTTTGTTGGGGGGGGGGCACGCTGCCAGCTGACCTGGGGGTAACCTCCAGCACAGGGCCATTTGGGATCGTAGAAGAGTGGCTCCAGAGAGTTTGGGGTGGGGGGTAACCACCAAAAAGCAACAGGGCAGGAGACTTTGGTGGGTGTTTGGGATGGAAGCAGCTTATTGCAGTGGGCAGGGGGCAGAGGAGGGGGTTAGCTGCCCCTCATAGAATCATAGAAAGTTAGAGTTGGAATGGACCATGCAGGTCATCTAGTCCAACCCCCGGCACTCTGCAGGAGCATAGCTTGAAAGATAGCCCTACATACCTACAACATGCCCGAAAGATGGTCGTTCAGCCTCTGCTTCAAAACGTCCAGCGAAGGAGCATCCACCACCTCCCGAGGCAGTCTGTTCCACTGCTCAACCACTCTGACAGTTAGGAAGTTTGTTAGTTGCTGTAGATTTTCTGGGTTGTGTGGCTGTGGTCACACAGCCCGGAAAATCTACAGCAAATAATGCACTCCAACCGTGAAAGCCTTCGACAACAAGTTAGGAAGTTTCTCCTGATATTTAGCCGGTATTGACTCCCTTGTGATTTCCACCCATTAGATCTAGTCTTGCAATCCAGAGCAAGAGACAATAGATCCACTCCATCTTCTACATGACAGCCCTTCAGATACTTGAAGACTGCAATCATGTCCCCTCTAAGCCTTCTCTTTCCCAGGCTAAGCAGACCCAACTCTTTCAGCCTTTCCTCGTAAGACTTGGATCCCAACCCTCTCACCATCCCGGTTGCCCTCTTCTGGACACGCTTAAGCTTGTCAACATCCTTCCTAAAATGTGGTGCCCAAAACTGGACACAGGACTCAAGGTGAGGCCTGACCATAGCAGGATAGAGCACAGACACAAAGTAGTGCTGCCATTTGATATCATAAAAACACAAGAGGAGCCATGTTGAATCAGGCCGATGGCCCGTCTAGTCCAACGCTCTGTGTCACACAGTGGCCAAACCCCAGGGGCCATCAGGAGGTCCACCAGTGGGGCCAGAACTCCAGAAGCCCTTCCACCATGGCCATCCCCCCAAGCACCAAGAAGACAGAGCATCACTGCCCCAGACAGAGTGTTCCTTCTATAACTTGTAGCTAATGGCCATTGTTGGACCTAAATGTGGCTGTCCATGGTCAAGCAAGAAGGAAACTCGATAGAAATTGGGCTGGTGAGTCGGTGTGCAAGGGCCAGACTGATGTAGCGGTTAGAGTGTCTGGGTAGCATCTGGGGGACTCCACATTCCCCACTCTACTGTGCAAGTTTACTGGGCGAGCTTGGGCTGCCAGTTTGGTGTCATGGCCAGGGGTCATTTCCTGCGGGAGTGCACAGGAGCGGAGCTCCGGCAGTAAGGAGCCCAGGGGGCGGGTACATGCAACAAGCCCCGCCCCCTGCTCCCAGCAA